GGGCTGGTGCCCCACAGCAGATTAAGCTACAGTTGTGAAGCCAATATCCCACATGGGCACCAGCTGGTGTCTCCGATGCTTCAATTCTGATCCTGCTCCCAGTTAATGGTCTAGGAAAGCAGTGAAGGAGGGCCTAAGTGTTTGGAGGTCTGAACCACATGAAAGACCTGTAAGACGTCCCTGGTTTCAGCCCAATCATTCTTTGTAGCCATTTAGGGTATGAACCAATACATGAAATATCTCTCTTCTGTCTCTCCCTCTCTGTTTATAACTCTGCCTTTCAATAAATAAATAAATAAATAAATAAATAAATCTTAAATAAAAATAGAGTGAAGAGATATCTGGTAGAATGTCAGAAAATAGTCACAAACATCTTATTGGACAAAAGCTTAATGTCCATAAATATATCAGGGCCTCAAAAATCCATCATCAACAACAAAAGACAATATAATCAATCCAGCTAGGAAATGGACAAAGGACTTGAATACATATTTTTCAACAGAAACACAGATGACCAAAAAATACATGAAAAGCAATTCAGCACTAACTACATTAGCCTACCAGCAGTGTGTTACCAACCCCCTTTTCTCCACACCCTTGGCAGCGTTACACTGTCTTTTGGATAATAGCCACTCTAAATGGGTGATTGCTCACTGTGATTTGGATTTGTATTTTTCTAATGGCTGGAGGTAGGATTCTGGTACTTCACTTACAGGGTCCTAGTCTTAAAAGAAATAAAAAATTGCGTTTCTGATAGGCTAAAAGCTTCATGAAATATGTGGCCCTTGAGAAGAGATCATTTTGCCTTGTATTTGTAAGTATGACAAGGGAAACAGTGGGGAGTTTTCTGGACTTGGATACTTTGGAATAGCATGTAAGAAGGGTGTTTGGAAATTTGATCGGAGATTCCCTATACAAATGTCTATACAGAAGTCCAAAGTCTGCATTTGTTGGGTATTAGACAACTCTAGGTCTGCAAAATAAATTCAAGGAAAACTATCTGGTTAATTAACATTTTTGCTGTATCTATTTGAATAATAGCAGCAAATTTAAAGAAGTCAGCGTGTTTTGTGATAAAGAATGTTATTTCTTTGAAATTATAATTATCATGGAAGAGGGTGGTGGATGGGAAATTAACCAGGAAACGTCATGAAGGAGTTTAAGAAAAAGAAATTACTGGGGCCAGTATCACAGCATCTCATATTGAAGCAGTCATTTGAGAACCAGCTACTCTGTTTCCACCCCTCCCTACTAGTGCACCTGGAAAAAACAGTAGAAATGGCCCAAATTTGAGTCATTGCCAGATATGTGGGAAACCTACAGAGAAGTTTAGGTTCCTGGGTTTTTAGGGCTCCTGGCTTCTGTCTGGTCCAGCCCCAGCTATTGCAGCCATTTGGGGAGTAACTAGCAGATGGAAGACTCTTTCTCTATCATTCTTTCTTTCAAATAAATAAAATAAATCTGTGTGTTCTATCTAGTGTACCTTTTAGAATTATTTCTGAATTAAATTGTCTGAGCCTTTTAAGTTGTAAAAAAGTGTTAGTATTGCAAATGATTCTTGCCCACAGATACATGAGCTATGTTCCATGAAGACAGATCATTCTCTGTGGATATTGGCAAGTTTTACATTTACTTATAAACTATTTAGTATTCTTAATTGCTGGCATGTGCTTGTCTTTTTTTTTTGAACATACTGGTTAACTGGTTCCCTTACAAAAATTGTTTGACATGTGCTTCCCCCAAAAATGAAAACGGAAACTAAAATTATAATTTAGTATTTCATCTGGAAAAATGATGCATGTGAAGGACTGGCAGGGGAGATCCAAAAAGCCAAGTCCTCAAAGAAGAAAATGAAAATAATGGAATAAAACTACCAGGAATGTAATTCAAGAATGCTTGGTTGTTTGTTATTTTTGAACCTGTCATTGATGCTGTCTCAACCCAGATGTTTTGAAGAATTGAACTTGCATTTTTTTAACATATTGTTCACTCAATACTATGTCAATTAATTCCATAACGTTGTATATTGATGCTGATGTTTTGTTGGGGATTTTAACTGACCGGAACTTTACTCTGTTAGCTCTACCTTCAGACCAGAGAAGGTCTCCCCAAGAGGCCACTGAACTTATCTGGACAATAAGATGCTGGACTTTATGCTAGGTATATGCTTGCAATGAAGGAATTTCAACTGAACTTGAACCACGGTTATGCAGCAAGGTGGAGGAATCCATTATGGGAGGAGAGGTGTGGGAGGGGTGGGGGGAATCCCCAGTGCTTATAAAACTGTATCACATAATACAATGTTAATAACAAATAAATAAAAAAAAGAAAGTTTACTGGAAATAGAGGAATACTTGAATAATTTCTTGATTCCCACCAGCAGTGAATTAGAGTTCCTATTGTTCTGTATTCTCACCAGCATTTGGTGTTAGTGTTTTAGATCAGGCCATTTTAATAAGTGTAGTATCTTAGGTAAGTTTTAATTTGGAATTCTCTAATAACTGCAAACACAATGTTCCTATTTCCTTCTTTCTAGGAACACAATTAGATTGTTTCTGTGTATATATGTGTGTACATGCAGGTACCAAGTCTACATATAGGGATACATAAGTATATCTCTATACCTCTATGTCTTTCTATCTCTAGTCTAGCCCTGTTCCTAAAAAATAAGGCTGATTTTTTTTATTGGACAGCTAGCATTGTGAGACACTTCACTTAATGAAAATCATGGACACTATGAATTCTGTTGCAAATACTTTAGATTCCGGTATAGAGTATACATTTTCCAGATATTCTGCAGGTTTTTTTTTTTTTAAGATTTATTTATTTTTACTGGAAAGTCAGATTTACAGACAGAAGGAGAAAGAACAATCTTCCATCCACTGGTTCACTACCCAAGTGGATGCAACGGCCAGAGCTGAGTCAATCCGAAGCCAGGAGATAGGAGCTTCTTCTGGGTCTCCCATGTGGGTGCAAGATCCCAAGCCCTTGGGCTGTCCTTCACTGCTTTCCCATGTCACAGGTAGCAAGTTGGAAGGGAAGTAGAGCAGCTGGTATATGAACCAGTGCCCACATGGGTTCCTGCTGCATGCGAGGCGAGGACTTTAGCCACTAGGCTACAGCGCTGTGCCCCAGATATTCTGTAGTTTTAAACGGTAGGGTTTTTTTTTTTCTTTTAACTTTCATTATGAATTTCTTGCTTTTGAATTGTGATCAGCTAATGCATGCTTTTTTTACTTGCCTGGAAATTTATCCAGGTTTTCATTGCCATCAATTTTGTAAATATTCAAAGGGCATATGAAAAGAAGGCATGTTTTCAGTTTTTAGAATAAAGAGAGTACTTTCAGGCTATGAATTATATTTCCACTAAATCTTCTGTGGTAAGTATGTTACTTAGGTCCCTTCTATCCTTCTTTTTAAAATTTTTTATTTGTTTTTATAGGATAGTCAGATGTACAGCAAGAAGGAGAGACAAAATAGAAAGCTCTTCCGTCCATTGAGTCACTCCTCAAGTACCTGCAATGGCCAGAGCTGAGCCAATCTGAGGCCAGGAGCCAGGAGCCTCTTCTGGGTCTCCCACCCAGGTGCAGGGTTCCAAGGTTTTGGGCATCCTTCACTGCTTTCCCAGGCCACAAGCAGGGAGCTGGATGGAAAGTGGAGCAGCCAGGACATGAACTGGCACCCATATGGAATGCCAGTGTACGCAAGGTGAGGATTTTGTCATTAGGATATTGCTCTAGGCCCTATCTCTCCTTCCTTTATTTCATTCACTTTGATGTCTTTCATAGATTGAGAGAGAGAAATTAAAGTTTATGTGTTTATTATCCTTCCTTATAATTCCTATAATTTGATATCGTAATATTTCAAAGATGTGACATGTATTAAAAAGAACAAAACAAGCCTATAATTTCTAAACATTGAGAAACAGAATTTATCAACATGTTAAAATGACAATATATTATGACCAAAGAGAACTTATGCTAGGAGTGCAATGAAGACAAAGTTTTGGGAAACATATTATTGTACTTTAATATAGTAATAGTTTAAAAAGACAGACTATCCATGTAGAGTCTGAAAAGGCACTTAATTCAACTCAATATCCACTGAGTATAAACACTTCTAAGACAGGAAGAGCTGTACACATTATAAAAATGTCCAAATAAACTTAATAATAGTCTGCTACTAATGCTAATGACTAAAACATTTTCCAAAGGTTTACAACTCTTTGATAATTTCATAATAAAGTGTTAGTTAGCATGATCTAATTTCTTCTTATGACAGAATTTTCGTTTTTAAAATGTGTTATTGATAAGATGATTTCATATTTTCAGATACAATTCTAATATAACTATACTTGTCTCCCTTCATTTTCCCCTCAAACCGCTCTTTCCTTCAATTTTGCCATATTTTTTTGAATTTCACAATACTGTTTTAAGAACATAATGATACAAGCCGCTACAGCCTTCCTATCGCTCACCCTCCCTCCTCCTCCTCTTACATTCCATTTTAATTTTTACACTTTCAATTTTCTTTATAACCACAAACTTAACCCTGCACCAGAATAAAGAATTCAACAAAAAGTAATTAGAGAAACTGTTGTTTCTCAAAAGTATAGATAAGGGCTATAAACAATAAGCAAATCTCAAAACGACATCTGATATCTTGACCGCAGTTTGCAAGACTCCACAGTCTGAAATACAGTCTGATTAAATTAGATACCAAGTGTAGTAATCTAGTAGAATTATTGTCACATACAGTAATGAGCTTATTTTTATACTTAACATTATATCTTTTAGGTATAATGTTATAACATTATATGTTTAACATTAATAACATATATTATGACATTATAAAAAGTCAATGAGGACAAACAGTTCTCAGAGAATCATGTGAGTGATCAAGTACTTCAGTGGCACAAATTTCTGGCTACAAAGACATGGTTACTCAGATTCTAAAGTCCCTTTGTAACTGTGGTACCACATTTCCAGCTCCCATTTTACCTGTTTGTTTCAGGAGATTCCAGGATTTTCTGCATGGATCGAGCAGCTCAGTTGCACGTGCCAAAAATCTGATCTATTGGCAACAATACAATAAGACAATTAGTGTCAACAAAAAAGAGCTTGAAGCAAATTTATGTAATCTCACACTATGGTCATTAAAATAGTTAAATAATAAGCAGCTACAAATATTTTAAACATTTTGGAATTTATACAGAAATATTAACCTCTATTTGCAGTTTTCCTATTGTCCAAAGAAAATTAGGATTGCACAGAAAATGTTGAGCATTATCAGTTTCCTTAGTAATCTAGAACAGAAGAAAAACACTTCCAAAATGGTAGTGTAAAAGAGTTTCATAGGCCTTCTCTACAACAAAATAACCATAATGGTGAAAAATTACAAAACATAATCATATAGTCTCAGGAAACTGATCTAAGGATATACAGAAAATAAACATTTATACCAGGGCATCTACTAATTTTCAGTAAGCAGAGTAAAAGCCTTTGATATTGGAGCCACTACCAGGATACCATCGCTAATCTCCTCTTGGCACTCAGTGCAATGTAAACTCTACTTAGGGTGGATCCAATAAAGAAAATGGGACACACTGAGGCTGGAATGGTGGCTCAACAGGTTATTCCTCTGCCTACAATAGCCAGCATCCCATATGGGCACTGGTTCATATCCCAGATGCACCACTTCTGATCCAGCTACTTACTTATGGCAGTGGAGGATGGCTCAAGTTTTTGGGCCCCTGAACCCATGTGGGATACCAAGAGGAGGTTCCTGGCTTCAGATTGGGTCAGCTCCAGCAACTGTGCCCATTTCCATTTGGGGAGTGGACGAGCAGATGGAGGATCTGTGTCCCTCCTTCTCTCTGTAAAATCTATCTTTCAAATAGCAGCAAATAAATCTTGAAAGAAGAAGTAGAAGAGAAGGAGGAGAAGAAGAGAAGGAGGAGAAAATGCAACATCTAGCTCCCAGGCTAGAGATTCCTAGGGAAGACAGACTGACTGTGCTTCTCATCCTCCCCAAGTCTGCCCTGTAGAATTTCTACTGCCAATAACAAGCACAATGGGAGGCCTGAGCTTTCTCCCTCTATCCAGCCCATTTGCAGGACAAAAGCTCTAACTCAACCATGCCAAGGATAGAATGTTGCATCTCACACTGAACATCACATTGTACACCGTAATTAAGTACACTTTGTGTGTTAAAAAGTTTGAATTAAAAAGTTTAGAACTAAGAAAATAATGTTGGCTCTCAATTGTTCTCTTATTAGTTTGCTTACAGAAAAGCAATTGGGTCAGCTGCAGCTCTACAGTAGCCACCCATGAAAATTCAGCCAGGGTTCTTGGCTTTTACCACATTTGCTCAAACCAACATAATCTGATTGAGAAATGTGTTTCAATATGCACCGCCAGCGGTTCTGTCAACATAAAAAGGGTATAGGCTTCAGTAGTTGCAATAGGCAATGTTCCTTGAATGAATTATCCAATACACCCACCCAATTAAAAAAACAAAAACAAACGCTCTTGTCTTTTGTACATAAAACAAAACAAAACAAAACAAAAACAAAAAAAAACCAACCTGAAGGAAACCACACTTAAAGAAGGAACAATGCTTGAGAAATAGAAAATTTCAAGAGATAAACTCATAACAAGAATCACATGGAAATTCTGGAAATGTAAAGTATAACAACGGAAATAAAAACTTGAATAGAGGGTATCAACATGAAATTTGAGTTGGGAGAAGAAGCGATCACCAAGCATGAAAACAGAGCAACAGAGATTATGAAACAAGAGCAGAATGAAAAAGAATGAATAAATATTAACAAAAACTCAGAAAAATGTAGGATACCATTAAGCACACCAAAATACTGATATTGCTAAGAGCACAGAACAGAGAGGCAGCCAAAAAAAAAAAAAAACCCAAATAACGAAAAACCATTAATGTCAAAACTTTCCAGTTTTAACAAAAAACATTTATCTTCACATTCAAGAATCCCAACAGGATAAATGCAAAAAAAAAAAAAAATGCAATGCCGATGTCAAAATGCTAAAAGATAAAGAGAAAAATCTGAACGTAGCAAGAAAAAATGACATCAATATGAGGGTGGCTCAGCAAGCATATAGAAAAACGTAATTAAAGTATGGGTTTTAAAAAAACAGGCTTATTTTGGTATAACCCATTTTGTCTATTTTGTTCATAATATGAATTTCGGTGAACTTTTTGAAGATCCCCTTAAATGTGTACATTTCAAATTTTGCACTAAAATAAACTTAACTAATTTTAATTCCATTTGCTCATTTTTTCAAGTGGCCTCATTTTATTGGCCACCTAATATATAAAATGCAATACACTTCACAGTAACAGCCTCAAAGAAGCAGGTGGAAACAAGGCTATTTTGTAATAAGGGAATGGAAGGAAACAATAGCTCAAATACATAGCAGAAAATGAGGAACAGCAGAAATGGTATATAATACAGTTAATTTAACAAATCATATGTACCTTCCTACTTTCTCTGTTTCTTTAATACATAAAATTATATAAAATGATATTATTTATCTTTGAAATACATATAGATGTAATAACATGATAGAACAAAATAGGTGAGGAGAAAAAAGAGCTAAAATGAGCAATGTTCCTATATTTTGCTCAAACTGAGTTCATAATCTAACGAAGATCCTAGTGAATCGGTCTATATTGTAAATCTTAAAACACCACTTAGATAAAAAACAGTAAGTATTGTGTAGAAAGAGAGGAACCGAAGTGTTACAAAGACAAAACAGTCAGTTGAATGCAAACAGGAAAAGGAGGAAAGCAAGAACAAAATATAAGGAAAAAGAAGTAAAATGGCAGCATTAAATTAAACCACAAAAATTGTAACACTAAATCTGACAGGATTAAACAATCTAATAAAAGGTAGTAGAGACCATCACCCTACGTTAAAAAGATGTTAACTCTATTCTACAAACAACGGAAATAGCAGTCATAAACTTTGAAGCAAAAAACATTACTAGTGACATTCATGGAAGTGTTTACTATGAAAAAATTTTACATGGATTTCAACCATCTTGTCTTTTAATTGCATTTCCTGGAAATTTTCTGAAGTACATTCCATATTTACCTAAGAACAGTGTCCCAATTTATGCAAAGCAAAAATAGAATCGAAGGAAAAAAGCAATTTAAATAGAACCTGGAGATTTCAATATCAAACTTTAGTTTTTAAATTATTTTTAATTTTATAAGGATTTATTTATTTGAAATGTAGAATGATAGAGACAGACAGATACCTTCCATCTACTGGTTCACTCTCCAAATGCGGGCCTACAAAAGCTTAGGCTGGGCCAGGCCAAGGGAGCGCCAGAACTGGAAACTCCATCTAGATCTCTAACTCCAGTAGCTAGAACCTCTCAGAATGAGAGGAAGCAGAATCTAATAGGAATTCTAATAGCAGAATTCTAATAGGAAGGTGAATCAGAAATGGAAGCAGGTCTTGAACTCAGGCATTTGAATATATGATATGGACAGCCCAAGTGGTGGTTTAACACCTTGTACCACAACACTCATCCTCCAACACTCATTTAAATAACGTGTAAAGGACAGGTTTCTGGTGTAGCACATTTAGCCACTGTATGAGCCATTTGCATTCCATATCAGAATGCCAGTTCAAGTCCTGGTTCCTCCACTCCTATATTACTTTCTGTTAATACAACCTGGGAGGCAGCAGTGCTTGGACCCCTGCCCCCCCCATGAGGGAGATTTGGATGGATTTCTAGGCTTCACGCTTTGGCCTGGTCTTCCTTGACTGTTGTGAACATTTGGGGAGAGAACCAGATGATGGAAAAATGCTCTCCTGCCCTTTTTCTCTCTTACTCTCTCTCATTGCTTTTCAAGCAAATGATAATACAAAAAACATTTACTTTATTTAAGTAAAAGCTTAAAAGAAATAACAGGCAGAAATAATCTGCAGACATCCATACTTCATGAATCCAACACTTGTGCATGTATGCAAAAGAAATCAAAACATATGTCCATTCAAACACTTGCACATGAATCTTTACCACAGCACTATTACTAACAGTCGAAATTTGGAGGCAACTCAAATGTCTATGAATGAATGCTGAATGGCTAAAAAATCTATCCATGCAACATAATATTATTCAGGAATAAAGAGAACGAAATACTGACACATGTTACAACATGAAGAATGCTGAGAGCATTATTTAGGGATCTATAAAATGAGGCACTCAGAAAAGACATAGGTAGGATGATATTTAAATTAAATATCCAGAAATACAAAAGACAAAAAGTCAGAAGACAAAAGTAGAGCTGGTGAAGGGCATGACTAAAATGCTTCTGATAATTATACAACTTTGAGAAAAGTCTTGAAACCATTACATTGTACTTTTAAATGAGTGAATTTTAAGGTATACCTGATACCTTAGTAAGTCTATTAAAAATACAGGAAAAATTCTGTAAAAGGCCAGTTAATCCTTTAGACTTTGCCAGACACGTGTATTCTCATGTACCTATTTTTCTTTATTTCCATTTACAATTCTTTAAAAATGCGAAATCAGAAAGAGGTCATGGGCCTGATCTGTGCAGTTGGCAGTAGTTTACTCAGCCCTGTTCTAGGAAGAAGATGTAATTCCTTGAAAAATTACAATCATAAGCATTTTATGTTTTTAAGCATTACTCATTCCCCCTTAACTCATACACAGGGGGATCAGGATAATGTGTGTGTGTGTGGCTTATCTGTATTCCTTCATCATCTACTTACTTGGAAATACCCCAATTTATAAGAGTTTAAGAGAACAGTCGGCAGATGTAAATAACAGAATTTAAACAAATATTCTTTAGAGACAGGATCACAGTTTAATTCGTAAGGATCATACTTGAAAGGCAGAAGTACATCTTCAATTATCTAAGTAGACATACTTTCAAAAGTAAGGAAGATTATATAAGGGTTACGAGGTTAGAGAGTTCTTAGAAACAGAGATGTTCAAGAAAAAGAACACAGAACTAAAAAGAACAGTTAGAAACAAATAGGATGATTAAGGACTGTATTTCAGAGTTTTTGAAATTTCACTAAGAATTTTTGATCTCTAATCATTGAGAAACCAAACTTAACAACATCAGGACTACCAACTGAAAAGGAAAAACTTCTTAGAACGTAAAAACACTATACAAAGACAAGATAATGTTATCATTTTAGAGCAAAACAAATGCCCCTGTTGGGAATTAAACTTACCTTTATTTGTTAAGAATTGTAAGTTTTTGGTTTTGCTATGAGCAGGTGGATTTTTTAAATCATCTTTTAAAATGGAAAGACTTCTTAAAAGAGGCCTCTTACTCATTAAGGACAAGCACTCTTTCTTCTTCATATATCTAGTGGAGTAGTTGCTGCTCAAAATGCTGTTTGTGTTGAACTCAATAAGGAAATGAAAGAAAGAGAAACAAAATGGCAGAATCTGGTGTGAATCTGTTCCAGATCCAAAACATAACAGGAAAGAAGAGATTAACAGGAGGAAACAAAGAGTAACAAGGATTTTTTAAAAATAGTTTATTTTTATTGGAAAGTTAGATATACAGAGAGTAGGGGAGACAGAGAAGAAGATCTTCGATCTGCTGATTGAGTCCCTAAGCGGCCACAACAGTTGGAAATGAGCTGACCCAAGGCCAGGACTCAGGAGTCTCTTTGGGGTCCTCCCATGTGGTCCGGATTATAACTAGCAGCCATTCAGGATCTCAGTGTGTGCAAAGCGAGGACTTCAGCCACTAGGTTACCGCGCCAAGCCCAAGTAACAAGGATTTTGTACCAACTGGAGAGAAGAGAAGCTGACAGGTATGAAAAATAAGTGAGTTTTCTTGAGTAGGTAGTAGAAACCAAGCAGAAGAGCTAGAAACATACAAAAATGCTGGAGGTTCGACTTGTAGAAAAATTTCTCAGAAAGAAGGATTGCAAAGAGCTAAAGACAAACAAATGATCTAGTGTACTGGAGACTGCAAGCACTGACAGCTCCTAAAGGGGATAAGGAAGCTCAGAAAGAAATTCAGTAAAGGTAAGGAAGTTTGTTTACTTGTTAAAGATTGAGTTAATGATAAGATATTTATGGATGTGCAACAAAGAAAGCAGAAGTGAGTAAGTGAAGAGAAACAAGTGAAGAAAGTAATTTCAGATGGCCATCAAAACTGGGGAAATAAACGAGTTCTTCCTTAGAAAGTGTATGAAAGGAAACAAAAGTACAGGAAACATTTCAATGCCTCATAGGTAATCACAGGGAGGCAGAGAAGATTAGATTAGGAAAGATTATTCCTAGGGATGAGACATTTTGGAAGAGTTCTTCAAGTTTCTTAACAGAGGACAAGCAAAATGTAACCTTTGCTCAGGAAGAAATTAGCCATTGCAAACTTCTGAAATCAAGGATTTCAAATGGACGAGTGGATTCTCTCAATAGAATCAAAAGAAGTGCATCAGGAAAGGCAAAAATACTGCATAGCACACTGAACTGCAGTCTTTTCTTTGAAGTTTGCAGATTACCTGTTCAGAAGTTACTGGAGTTTGTCTTCCTTCTTCTAGATCAAGTGAAATTGCCATCACTAAACATGTTTTCTGTGCAATCAGAATTACTTGATCAGAAGGACAAAACAGGGACAGCTGATAAGAAATAACCAGAACATCAATGAATAGTGAAGATTTTGTCAGGTGAACACAAACAATCAAAATGAAAATCAGCAACATCATCTCTGAATGAGAAAATTCAGCTGGTAAAGCACATGTCACCATAAAAATGACATTGACTGTAACACTGATTTACAGTTTTAATTCTATATTGCTTTGCATTGTCTGAAGCACCTTCCCAGAGATAAAAAAGCTTCATTTCTTCATAGTTTCCTATCTTTTGCAGTGATAAGAGCTCTCATCTGCCCCTGTATTTCTATCTAGTAATTTATTTCTTAGTTTACACTGTAATTTCTAAGTGATTTCCCCATGGTAAGCAGATTTACCCTTTGTATTGCATATAGCTGAAATTAATACATATATTGTCATGGCTGAAAAATACAGTGTCAAGCCTTGGCAGGCATTCAGTATAACCTCATTATTAAATCATGCCCTCTGATTTTAGAAAGAACTCCCAGTCTTGGACTGAAGTAAGACTCCAAGCTACTTGAATTCTTATGAACCAGCCCTACAAGTGCTATTATAAATGGCAAAACCAAAACTTATTTCACCTAATGAACAGAGCAATTATAACTTAACTTGCAAAGACAATTCCTTAAGTTCTCTAAAACTCTGTGTGATCACAATCATTATCATTGAATCGACAGCATTTTAAGACACCTAACTGCTTCCGGTCTCAGGCTAGGCTTAAATAATACTGGGTAACTGTGTTTATATACTCTGTGTTATATTCTCTCTAAAGTTTGTTCCAGCTTTAAAATTCCAGCATTTGATTGGCCTCAGCACATCAGACGGTGTATTTTTAAATGTGCATGAAGGATATTCTTTAGCTTCCATAACCTCTTCTATTCTTTCAACAACATATCACCTTAATATTGGCATTTCAAGTTCTACCTTGGAAACGACCAAGTATTTTTAAATAATTTGAAATCAAAAATCTCACAAGTACTACCACAAGAATCTGTTCCACAAAAAGTTGCAAAGAAGGCCTAAGCTGCTTATCTTCTTTTCAGACCCGGCTATCCCCAGCTATTTATTCAATATTCCTACAGACACATTGCTGTAACCCTTCCTAACATGTTGGGAATTGGCAACCACTTCAGAGTACTTCCCCCTCCCAAGGATACTTATATTTCAGTAAGTGAATCTGGGAGACTGAAATCCTTTCAACTGCAAAGGGAAAAAGTTTGTAATGGTAGAACTTCAGGTTGCAAGATGAATGCATGTGAGATTTAGTACGGGGAGAGTTACCTCAGATTCTCACAATATATTCAATGGGGACCAATCTCCTTAGATCACTTCTGTTTAGACATATATCACATGTTTCTAGATTAAAAGCCATTCCACTCTATACTTAACCCTTTACTACAGTGATAGTGGTCAGAGTCCTACACAAGCTTAGAAGAGACTTACCCTGTAAGAAAGCACGAATAATTCTCTCATTGTCACTGAGTCAAGATCAGTTTGCACAGCTAAATTCCAAGCTGAAAATAACATGAAATGATACACTTAGGAAAATCTAATATTTTGTCTCTATTACCTATTTCTTTAATATTAATATTAATATACTAATATAGGGTTTCATTAAAATATTAACCTTAGGTTTGTAGAGAAAATTTTTGCAGATGAATTTAGAGATTCCTATCACTTTTATTTTTAAATTGTAGGCCAAAGACCAACGGATCTACTGTTAAATATTTTTAGAATTGGGGACATATAATAAGAATTCTTAATGAGCACAAATCTACCTAACAAATGAGGATTACCCAAGATGCTCATCATTTGGAAATGGTTAAAGCAAGTTAAAATTCAGCAAACAATAGGTTGAAGAAAGTTGTTGGAAAGATTCACATCTTCTAAACATTAGTGGAAGAAACCATCACAGGCAGTATTCAGCATGATCTTTACAATGGAAAATCAAAATTAAATTCAGTAAAAGCAGGAAAATAGCTTTTCAAACATTCCAGAGATCAAAGTCACTAAAATTTCTATACTTCATTTTTTTTACTTAGTTTCTTCAGTTTCTTAATTTTTTAAAGATCATCTTGTTTTCTATGCTCTAGAGCTCTGTAAATTTCATAAAGCAGAAAAAGGTTCCTATAGAACTAGTCCATTTTGTGACAATGCTAATTGCTCTTCCATACTTATCACTGTAGTAACTGCCACCACAATTTTATTTTCTCATCAGTTTGAAAGAAAGAACGAGAGAGAGAGAGAGAGAGAAATATGAGACAGCAAGAGAGAGAGGACAGAGAGGTTTTTTTTTAATGTACTAATTCACTCCCTAGATGTCCATAATAGAGCTGGGCAGGAACAAAGCCAGGAGATAGAAATTCCATTTAGTCCAGCACATGGGTACCAGGAACCCAAGTACTTGAGTTGGGCCATCATCAGCTACCTCCCAGGAACATTAGGACGGAGGTAGACTGGGTGTAGGTATCTAGATTTTATACCAATATGGGATGCAGGCATTGCAAGCAGTGGCTTAACCCACTACATAATCCCAGGCCTGGTTTCCACAATTAAAAAAAAAATCTTTCTAACTGAAATAAAATGCAGGTAAAGTAACCCAAATAAAGCATCCAGCACCAAGTTCAAGTGAGATCTTGATTGTTACCAGAAAGTCAGAAGCTCCCCTCCTTTTCAGTCCAACCCGTCCTTCAAGAGTAACCACTCTCTTAACTTTCAACACTACAAATAAATTAGTTTTGTGTGTGTGTATATATATATACTCTTTTTTTTTACAATCTATGAGATTTCTTTCCACATTTATAGGAAAATGCACATTATAAAAAAACTGCATAGCGGTCTCAGCATATTTTTTGTGCCAACATAAATACATCTTTCAAATTCCATATTCCAGGAATGTTTTGAAGTATCCTCATATAAGTTGAAACATTCAAAACTCTAATGCGTGGCTCTCTGCTCAATATCATATTTAAGAGATTCATTCACATTGTTGCATATATGGTGAATCACATTTAGAGAAAAATCAGGCATTTTAGGTCAAGTTTAAGGATAAAATCTTACGGATCTTAAGTTATAATTTATCATTTTATTCTCAACCTCATTTCTATAAAAAAAGAAATAAAATGAAAACTCATTGAGTACCTACATTGTACATATAAAACTATTGATAACCACATGATGTATAACTGATTTTGTTTTTATAATGAAACTGAAGTTAAGCAAATTATCTCTGTATCAGAGTTACATGTGAAAGTCAAAACTGAAATTACATCCCTCTGATTTCAGCATCCCACTACATATCTCATAGTCAGAATTTTCCTTTACCTATTTTCCGAAACCAGTGAGCTTCATTGATTCTTGTATTCAAAGTTGAGATTCCATCACGAAAATACTGAGCAATCTTCACAAGTGCTGCATTAAACAGGAAAATTTGATATTGAGGTCTTTTACCTTATATTCCAGCAAAGTTGTTAATTCAATTTTAAATGCAGTCACACACGAGAATGAGTTTAGAGAGTTGTTTTTTTTTGTGTGTGTGTGTATGTGTGTGTGGGCTCAATCAAAGGTAATTAAATGACAAAAAGCATTACCAAGCTCCAAGAAACTTAATCAAACTTCCAGGAACAAATAAGTCTTTGGGAAGATTCACAATTTTAATTAGTGCAATCATTGACCACCTGAGTTAGAAAGGTATGATTTACATGTACGGAAATAAAGAATAGGAACAATCAGTAAAAGGACAGAGTAGAGATTAAAAATTGGAAGAGTATCAAGAGGCTGGGATAATATGAACTAACCTTCTACAGCAAGTGCATTACAGAACCAGAATGTGCCATCATCACCAGAAATGATTTTTCGTATACCTTACTTTCTCAGAATTAAAAATCCCAACCAGTAAAGTTTTCTCTTTTGAAAAGTTTTGGCTTTTAAACTGCTTTACTATGTTGAACACTCCACTGATATGTATTTGAGGTATAAAATCAAAGTACCGCAATAAATATAACAGTTTCTATGTCAGGGACTTTTGATGTACTTTAGATTCAAGAAAAAAAGGCACATGGGCAGTAGAAATGGGAAGATGTGTTAGCAGAAAAGACATCCTGTGAAGAAGAAATTTATGTGGCTAGGAAATTGACTTGGAAGAAGAGATAGGGAGGAATTATTAGCAGAGGAAATGACACAAACTTGGGCAGACAGAAGGGCAGAATAATCTGAATTTACTTCAGAAGGCATGAAAAACCAGCAGCGTTCAGGGCATTTTTCTTTGTCTTTGATTTTTTTTTCACCTGTTGGTTAGGATTTAGTGGCAATTAGAAAAGTAGAAAGGAAGGATGGATAGATGGAAGGAAAGAAAATACAGATTGAAACAGAGACAGTGGAAATAGTGTTTTGGAGATGAATGTTCGTGACGACAATCTTTGTTTGTGGATGATGACACCAGACTCCTGTGGCAAACATTAATAAGGAGCATGAGGCTTGAAGCTTAATTCAAGCATAAGGTTGAAATCAATGGGCTCAATGTGCTTGCAGAATTCAATAGAGGACAGAGGCAATGAGAAGAATGAAAAATAACCAAGGACATATTTACCTCTATTCAGGCAAGCCAAAAGTCTATCCATTTCCTTCTTTCTAAAAAATAAAGAAAAGAGTTTTCCAATTGTTTCAGTGCTTTATTAAAGAAAATAACTATAAAGAGACACTAGGTTTGTCTGAGAGCTAGGCTAATAAACCGAAGATTAGGAAGTTTGTTGTTCAACGTCCCAATCTATCATTTTAACACTGTTTCCCCTCCATAGGATACAGTTATTCATCCCCAGTGCCCTCACATGCTTCTGTATCTACTCCTGCTTTTAGCAAAATATTTCAATGATTAAAAAGGCTTTACATTGTAGAATCACAGAATTTGGGAAGAAGGTGGTAACCCCAGTAATTCTTTTTTAAACACTGGGGATTAGAACCCTTGTTTAAAATAAAATTGTATAAATTTGTAAAATTGTATAAAATTGTAAGAAGAAATATATGGAGAAATACTGAAGGAAGCCAAAGGAGGAGAAAAAAATACTTTGCCAACAGAGGAAAAAAGAAACTAGACAAACAAGAAGAAAGTAGAATGGACTATGTAAAATATTTAGAGGAAAAAAATCCACCAATCATGAATTTGGTTCCATGAAAATTTCCCCTTCAAAAGTGAAGGAGAAGAAAAATTTTGTCAGATAAATAAAAATAGAGACAGGAGTAAAAAAAAACGAAGAAGAATAAATCAAACAATGAACAGCCCATTGCTAAAATGACAGGACTAAATTACTACCTATTGATACTAAATGACTAATACTCATCAATCAAGCAGCATAGATTAGCAGACTGGATCAAACAACAACAACAACAAACAAACAAAGCCCCAAAAAACAAAGCCCATCTATCTGTTGCCTACAGGAGACACATCTCACCAACAAAGATAAGTGGAAACTGAAAAGGATAAAAAAAGATATTTCAGGCTAACGGAAAGGAAAAATCAGCTGGTGTAGCCATTCTTACACAACAGAGTTTTTGACATGGAAAAATATTAAAAGAGATGAAGAAGGACATCACAAAATGATCAAAGGATCTGTTCAGGAGGAAGAGATCAGTTTACTAATGTTTTCTTTTTCATCTCCAATTTCACTTGCTTTTTTAATAATGCTTTTTCTTTGCTAGTCAAAATTTGTTCTGCTCATCTGAAAAAAATGGCCCTTTGTTGTTGCAATTTGTACTTTTTCAGTTTCAGTTCCATTTATTTTTGTTGTGATTTTTATCATTTCTTGTTTCCTGTTCAATTTTTAAAATAAGTACTTGAGATGAATTATTAGATAATTTATTTGAGATATCTTGATTTTTGTAAGCACCTGGTGTTATAAATGCCCAGTTCAATACTGTTTTGCTACATCTCATGGATTTTGATATTTTTTGAATTTTCATTAAAAAAATGTTTCCTTTTTCATTTCTTCAGAGACACATTGCTTATTCAGTAGCATATTATTTAATTTCATGCTATAAATTTTGTATTTTTCTTCATGTTGCTGCTTTTGTTTTGTGGGTTTTCATTTAAGGGGATATATAGTAACTGTGTTATGGAGACTATCATATCCAGATGTGAGGATATTAAAAAAAAATAGAATATTCTGGACAATAAGATGCTGGACCCTATGCTTGGTCTATGTTTGCAATGAAAGAATCTTGACTGGATTTGAACTGTAATACTGCAACAAGGTGGAAGAATTCACCACGGGGGGAGAGTACAGGGAGGGGTTGGGGGAATCCCGGTGCCTATGAAACTGTGTCACATAATGCAATGTAATTAATAAAAAAGGTAAAAAAATAAAATAGAAGGAAAAAAGAAAAATATTATTTTATGATACAATTCCATAGTCTCTGGGATTTCCCTTATCCCCTCCCAAATTCGCTACCCCCGACTTATCTCCCCCATATTATTACAACAGTATAGTCTTCATAAGCAGTCTTAAGTCCATCAATCTGCTATTCAAGTGTGTCCTGACATTGCAGGTACAGACAATCCAGCATCCTATTGTCAAGATACATCCAACAGTCTCAAAGGGTGTCCTCCTTTGATTTGGAAATAGAGATGCATACTGTACCACATCTTCACATCTGGATATGCAAGTCTCTACTATGCTGTTGCTAGACATCCCCTTAAATGAAAAGCCATAAAACAAAATCAACAACAGGAATAAAGTTAAAAATTTACAACACCATGGAGTTAAATAACATGCTACAGAATGGCCAATGTATCAATGAAGAAATAAAACAGAATACAAAAAGACTTTCTTGGAGAAAATGGTGCTACTTTATGATGTGTAAACCAATGAAGAATTTAATAAAAGAAACTATTTTGAAGAAATAAGTACAACAAATAAGAGCAAAAATATCAAAACCCATGGATTGCAGCCAAAACAGTATTGAAACGGATATTGCTCTTAGATTTTGCATGAAGGCTGCCTTATATCAGAGAGACTATATGGTATTCCTCTGCCTAATTAAAAAATATATCTATATAATGATTACGTGGTATAGGGAAATTTGGGTGAACTCACTGCTTTCACATTTGCTTTTTCTTCTTCTTGTTTCTGGGGGAAAGGGAGAGACAAAGGGGGAAAACCCTCACAACTTTCCACACTTTCCAGTACTCAGGGATGAGGAACTGCCACCTCTTAACAACCCAGAGTCTCAATGTATGCATATTTTCAAGGGTTCTGTCCAAGTAGTTTGGATAGTTCTGAAATGCTGCCAATTTTCACCAACCCAAGGATGATGTCACCCTCCCAATGTCCATTGGCTCCACTCACTGACATTTTTTGCGGTCATCGTTTGAGGTAGTTGTCCAGCTTGTTCTGTTCTTTCTTCTGCTACAACACCAAATCAGCTGCCATATTCTCCTTTTATCACAGGGCCTGTGCCCATTGCTCCTACTTTTTCATTAAGTAGGACATGGTATATCAGAGAGAATATATGGCATTTGTCCTTTTCTGTTTGGCTTATTTCCCATAATGGCCTCTAGTTGGGAACATTTGTTGCAAATGGTATAATTTCATTCTTTTTAATGGCTAAATTGTATTCCACAGAATAGATGTACCACAGTGTCTTTAACCACTCCTCTTTGGACAGGCATCTGTGTTTCCATCTCTTGGCTATTATAGACTGTGCTGTTGTGAATATAGGATTACACATCCCTTTCTCATATGCAGTTTTCATTTTCTTTGGATATATTGCCAAAAGTGGGCAGCTGGGTCATATGACAGGTTTATTTGGAGTACTCTAAGCACTCTCCATACTGATTTCCATAGTGGTTGTACTAGCCTACACTCCCACTAGCAGTGGAGGAGGATACCTTTCTCCCCACATCCATGCTAGCAGGTGTTATTAGTAGAGTTCTGAACGTTGGCCAACCTCACTGGAGTTGGGTGGAATCTCAATGTGGTCTTCATTTATATCTCCCTAATGGCTAGGGGTTCTGAGTACTTTTTCTTATGTCTATTAGCCATCTGAATTTGTTCTTTTAACAAATGTCTGTTCATTTCCTTTGCTTAATTTTTTAAAAGGAAAATTGGTGACCAAATTCCTCCATATTATGTTAAGTTTTTGCTATCTTATGTTACATGAACCTATCAGAAGCATTTCACTCCAAGCTGATAGAATCAGCAATATATGTATAATCCAGATTATACATCACATGAGAAAGAGATATACATATATTTGAATCCTTGGTTAAGAAAATCAGAAACAGATGCAATATTAATAATTAGATCATAGGTAGTACTACTGAGACTCAAGTGCCAAACACTCTAAGCAATTTTACATATATCACCTAATACTCTGGTTACTCTTTAGACTACATAACTCATTGAGTCATAACAACAATCCCATGAGCTCTGTACTATTACCCTCATTCTACAAATGGTGTAAGTGATGCCCCCAAATTTTAAAAATTTGGTTGAGGTTACACATAAGTAGCAGAACCAGTACATGAATCTAGGAGGACTTGTCCCAAAACTTATTCTAATCTGACCTACTGCACTATCCATCTCTCAACTCAAGGCTTATATTGAAAACTAGTATATTTTAAAAATGCTTAATATTTCATTTCTGTTGAAATAACTTACTTAGCTTCAGGATCTGATAGTTCAGAGACATATGGAACAACAATACGAAACAAACACCTGTATAATAAATACATAAGGTGTATAAATAAAACAGAAAGTGATTCTTACACGTGAAAGCAAATACATTAAATCATTAACCTTGATTATTCTAGGAAACAGAACTGAGAAAAGAGAAGTAAAAGGGAGATTAATCTTATTTCGTTTAAGGATTTTTGTATTATTTTAATGGTTGCATTGGATGCACACTGATTTTATAATTTTGAGTATGGCATTTAATAAAAGAATTTAAAAACCAAAGTGTTGCTTATAACAGATTCTTAAATGGTTCCACAGATCACATAATCATCCCAAATCAAATGCTAGAACATCAAGTATGTTATACAAGTCTCCATCTTTCTCTATCAAAAAGTCTGTCACTGGTCTTGGGTCCTACACAAAGTATAGAATTATTCATCTAAGGGATCTGGTAGCATAACAACAAACTGACAAAATAATGTAGTTGGTAAAATTCCAAATCCCAAATATCTAGAGAAAATACCACGTGTCCTGAATGGATTTTAGATGACTTAAGGCAAGCAACCATCTCAAGACCTTGTCTGTTTTCTTACTGTAACTCCGATTCTCTTTGCAAGTGTGGCCTCACCAATACCAACTACCCTAGAACCCTTTGGGTCTTCATTTTTCACAGGAGCATTTGTTATAGTATAGGCACTGATCTCACCAGCATGATAAAAGTTTGTAACCTCAAAGTAAGATGAACAGATGAAATCCTTTCACTTCTATGGCTCTGAGTGACTTACTTTAAAGATGTAATTACTTGTTGTGGGTCTTCTGAATAGTGGGCCAAATATTCCAAAGCCTTTACTGCCACAAACTGTTGTCCATGCTAAAAGGAACAAATCACAATAAATTACATCTCAAAGTGACACATATAACATGTAATCTAAAATTCCTGCTCAGCTTGTATAAGAAAAAATATAAACATATTTTCTACTCTAAAAAGTGACCACAAGATGGTAGAATGAAGACACAACTTACTGACAAAAACAGAAGAAGTTCACATTAATCCCAGAAACCCCTACCTGCCCAACATAAACATAGCCTTATCATTGCCTTGAATCCACTAGAACTAATCCTAATATACTCTTTATCCCCATTTAGTCGCAACAATCAAAAGAACCAAAGCAAATCACATAACCCTCATGTTCAGCACTATAATCACCAAAGAGTTCTGTCCATTCTCTCTGACACTCCCCCAGTCCTTCCACAGTGCTTTCTGGAATGCAGTCCATTAGCAGAAAAATTTCTTCTACAAGCAACCTCTTCTTTGAAAGCTTTGTATACATCCTTGCTTTAATGGAAATGTAGGCTTCTGCTGAACACACTGCTGCCACTGAAGGTGGTGCTACAGTGGTTGGTTTTGGCCTCACTATCTCAATTCTAGGCCTTGAGATGGAGTAGGTGTCCTTGCTATTCATTACCATTTTAACAGTATCGTCCTTTTCTCTATCTTAGAATCTGCAAGTTTCAATTTCCTGCCATCAGACTATATTACTCATTATCCTTCATCGTCGCTGTGATCTACCAGTTCTCAGTTCATTTCTCATTGCTTGATAGTTCAACCTGCCCTCTCAGTTTTTTAAATTCTACTCTGTCAGTTACCTTAACTATTCATCCCTTGAGTCATTCTCCAGACTCTCATTACTAATCACTGCAATCCTGAACTCTAAGGACTAAGACTATGGTGAACTAGGTAAGGCAAGTGACACATCTAGTATGTGAAATTTAAAGAGGCACTCACTCCCAGATTGTACCAAATCAGCACTTGAATGACCCTAAGAGGCAGTGCCACTTTGTTTTCTGTTCTAGATTCTTTTCTCACACTCTGTGCCCCACTTCAGGCCACAGTTTCCCATGTTCCATTTTTGACCATGACTCTTAAACTTTCCAGCTAATAGAGCCTGACTCCAGTAATCTTTCTAGACAGTAAGAACTTCAAGTCATTGATGCTACATGGTTTTCACTGTCCCTCATCTCCTTAATGTTCTTCTCTGCATTCAGTTTCAATTCCACAGAAATTAATCATAACCATTCCCTTGTTCTTTAATCTTCCTTCCCCTCTTTACTGTGTTCCTCTGGCAAAACCCCAAGTCTGATTAAGTATGATTTTCTGCTGAGTCTTGTGCCAGCATGTCCTTATTTGAATGTGACTGAAAAAATCTGGGCCTCAATGCTACTGGAAAACATAGCACACTTCCCTAGTCATTCATTTTCCTGCTTTCCTGGATGATTAGCTTACATATTAGCCTGTCCTGACATCCCCTACTCCCATCTCCGACTTCTCTTCCGAAGTCATCACTTCAGAGTGAAATTGGGAGAAAGAAAGAAGCAGCAAAGAAATAGGAAAAGAGCTGCTGGGAATCTTGAAATTCTCTTCCTGACTGCTTCAGTTTTCAGATCCCAGAATATTTCCTTGTGTGGAGTTGGGGGGAGGAAAGGAGGAAAAGTGCTACAAACGGATTGAAAGATAGGGTAGCTCATTTTATTTTTTAAATTTTATTTATTTATTAATTATTATCATTTTATGATATAGTTCCATAGGCCCTGGGATTTTCCTACCCCCTCCCCAAGTTCCTTCCTCTCCACACTGAGTTCCCCTGTATCATTACTGCATTATAGTTCTTCTTAAACACACATCATTGTGGGCATGAACAATGGCAGAGAATCCACCATCCTAATGTTAAGACATAGTTAACAGTTTCATTGGGAGTCCACCTTTGATCTGGAAGTAGAGATGCATATTGCATTGTATCCTCATCTCTGGATATGATAGTCTCCATTACATAGTTACTGTATATCCCCTTAAATGAAAATCCACAAAACAAAATCAACAACAGGAAGAGAAGATGGAAATTAAAACTGCGATGAAGTTAACTAACATGCTACTGAATGACTGATGTGTCACTGAAGAAATGAAAAAAGAAGATCAAGAACCTTCTTGCAGAAAATGATGCTGCTGTATGATCTATGAGTCAGTGAAGAATTTAATAAGAACATGTTCTGATGAGATGAAAATTAAAAAAATAAAAATTCATGAGATAAAGTTTCCGTGGATCTTTGTTGATAAGATATGTCTCCTGTAGGCAACAAATAGAGGGGCTTTGTTTTTAATCCATTCTACTAATCTATGACGTTTGCTTGATGAGGTTAAGCCATGGGTTGTTCATTGATTTAGTCTTCTGTTATTTTACGGGGATGTTCTTCTCATTTGTCTTTGGATTTTGGTGGGTGCTATTCCTCTTCTCTGTCAAGAGAACATCTTGAAGTATCATTTGTAAGGTAGGTTTGAAAGAGGCATATTCTTTCATCTTTCCTTAACTGGAATATGTCGCTCCATTCTCTTCTGGCTTATAGAGTTTACTGTGAGAGGTCTCCTGTGAATTTAACTGGCATTCCTTCATATATCAAATGATTATTTTCAAATGCACATGTAGAGATCTTTTCCTAATGTTCAATTGAAGAGAACCTGATTATCATATGTCTTGGTGAAGATTGCTCTTGTCCAATGCTGTTGGGAGTTCTGTGCCCCTCCTGGATCTTGTTTCCCAATTATTTCTCCAGATTGGGGAAATTTTCCCTTATTGTTTCATTAAATAGATTTTTAAACCCAGTTTCTATTTCTGTACTTTCTGGGGGCTCCTATAACTCTTATATTTGACCTTGTAATTGTGTCTTTCAATTCTTTTTTTTAAAAGATTTATTTTTATTATTATTTTTTATTGGAAAGGCAGATATACAGAGAGGAGAGACAGAGAGGAAGATCTTCCGTCCGATGATTCACTCCCCAAGTGAGCACAACGGCCAATGCTATGCCGATCCGAAGCCAGGAGCCTCTTCCAGGTCTCCCACGCGGGTGCAGGGTCCCAAAGCTTTGGGCTGTCCTCAACTGCTTTCCTGGGCCACAGGCAGGGAACTGGAAGGGAAGCGGGGCTGCTGGGATAGAACCGGCGCCCATATGGGATCCCGGGCATGCAAGGCGAGGACCTTAACCACTTGCGCCACTGCGCCGGGCCCGTCTTTCAATTCTTGAGTGCTTTTTTTGTAGATTTACCTAGCTCTGCTTCCAGCTTCAAGTTTGTTTCTCCCTGGTGACAGAAAATATCTTCTAATTTTGAGATTTTTTCTTTTGCCTCCTTCATTCTATTTTGGAGACTCTCCTCTGTACTTCTAATTTGGTCCACTGCATTGTTCAGTTTTGATATATCAGCTTTCATTTGATTCATTTCCTGTGTGACATATTCCTTAAATTCCTGGAACTCCTGTATTATGTGTTTCTTGCTGTTGATAAGAAGCTTTATAACAATTGTTTTGAATTCTGTATGCCCCATTTTCTCGATGTCTTCCTCAGTGAACTCTGAGGTTGGTGAAGGGTTTTGCTCCTTTGCAGGGGAGTCTTCAGTGGTGCTGATCTTGCTGGAACCTGTTGGCCCTTAGGTCTGAGGGCCACATGGACCTATTTTGACCGGTACAATGCCAAAGTCAGTATTATTTTCCTTGTGGGACCAGTGCAATGCACTGAGCTCAGTGAGTTTGCTCCAAGTTCAGTGCATGTGCAGCTCACTGTTGTCCCCTGCAGTCCTAAAGCTACTGCCACAATGTACAAAATGGTGCCTGATGTGCCACTATTAGAGCTCTTGATCTGCTGGCTGTCAGGTCTCAGGGCTACCCAGACCTGTCTTGGGTGGAACCTATAGGATGCCATGTTGTTGCAGTTCACTGAGTCAGAAATGAGTTCACTCCCATCTCAGTGCATGTGCAGTCCTGTCCCATAGTATTTTTGTCACCCTATGCAAAATGGTGCCTGATTTGGCTCTAGGGGGAGGACTGGTCTGTGAAATCCACCCTGTTCCTGCACTGTCTGCCTGGGACCTGTCACTCTGTCTCTGCTTCTGGTCAAATCAAACAGACCAGCAGGACGGACAGATCTTTGTTGGGTTTACCTACTGAGCTCCCTCTGAATGTCCCTTCCCACCTGTTGCTGGTGGATATCCAGCTGCTGGTGCAGTTCAGATCGCCGTTAGCTGAGTGGCGCTGGGATATCGGTCACTGCAGCACCATACTGTTTTGTCTGCTGCTTTCCCATGTCTGTCAGTCTTCCCCTTTGCTATTATTCTGTCCCCTTCTATTTCCTAGAATAAGTCCTCTAGGCTTCACATTGGCTAATGTTTCTCTGTTAAAATATGTCCTTACCCTATTCCACCATCTTGACTCTCCAAGGTAGCTCATTTTAAGAGAAGTGAAAGTAATGGTTTACCTGCTTAACAAGGCATTCCCACCAGCCTTGCTTAGACTCTTATCAGTTTAACAAAGGATTATTACCATGGGTTCTCATCCTGTCATGGTTCTTTATTTTTCCCCATTCAATTCCTCACGCACAGCCAAAATTCTTTTCCTAAAGAACAACTTTTACATAGACCGTCATTTATTAACAGATATTCATGATATGGCCACATCTCTTCTTTCACTCCTACCCTGTATCATAAGCTTTTAATGTAAGCCACAAGATCTGAAATGGTAGAGACATTAGCCTTACAGCCTGCTAACCAAATACAGCATATCTCAAGCCAACTACAGTCCTTTTCCTAGGCCTTGTTTATATAATCCCATCTTTTTCAAGATGTTCTTAAATATCTTACATATCTAAGTACTACTCTTTTCAAAGCCCAACGAGGGGTTTCCCTAGGCTAGAGAGTTTCCAAATCAATTCCAGTGCTCAATTCTCTCTTCCTATTCTGAGAGTCATAGTGTTTAACATGTACATTGGTTATTTGCTCTTCATTCTTCATACTGTCTTACATGGCTAATGTATGGCTGATCTGTTCAAAT